AAGTGGCTAAAATAAAAAATACAAGAAACAGCAACAGTTGGCAAGGAAGTGGAGAGAAAGGAACCCTCTTGCATTGCACTGTTGGTAAGAATGCAAACTGGAGCAGCCACTCTGGAAAATGGTATGAAAGTTCCTCAAAAGGTTAAAAATAAAACTATCCTGGGACCCAGGAAATCACACTACCGGGTATTAACCCCAAAAATACAAAAACACTAATTCAAAAGGATATGTACATCCCTATGTTTATTGCAGCATGATTTACAATAGCCAAATTATGGAAGCAGCCTAAGTGTCCACCAATAAGTGAATGGATAAAGAAGATGTGGTAGAGAGGCCCTGGGTGGCTCAGTCAATTGAGCGTTGGACTCTTGGTTTTGACATAGATCATGGTCTCAGAGTTGTGGGATCAAGCCCTTCATCTGGCTCTGCACTCAGCACCAAGTCAGCTTGAGATTCTCTCTCCTCCTTCTACCCCACCCCCACTCACACGCACGTTGTCTCTCTTTTTCTCTTTCTCTAAAATAAAAATTAAGTACATCTTTTTTAAAAGGTGGGGGAGTGCTTGGGTGACTCAGTTGCTTAAGTGTTGGACTCAGGTCATGATTTCATGGTCATGAGCTTGAGCTCCACTTGAGGTTCTGAACTGGGCATGAAGCTTGCTTAAGATTCTCTCTCTCCCTCTACCTCTTCCCTCACTCATGCTCACACTCTCTCTCTCTCTCCCCAAAAAAAAAAAATCTATGTATGTATGTATATATAGCATTTTGTGTGTGTGTGTGTGTGTGTGTGTGTATATATACATATATATATATATATATATATATATATATATATATATACACATACAGTGGAATGAAATATTCATCTTGCCATTTGCAATGACTGGATGGAGCTACAGAGTATAATGCTAAATAAAACAAGTCAGTCAGAAAAAGACAAATGCCGTATGATTTCACTCATATGCAGAATTTAAGAAACAAAACAAATGAATGAAGGAAGAAAAAAGAGAGTGAGAGAGACAAACCAAGAAAAAAACTATAGAGAACAAAGTGATGGTTACCAGAGGGGAGGTGTGTGTGGGGGATGGGTGAAACAGGTGATGGATATTAAATAGTACATTAATCATGATGAGCACTGATAATGTATAGAATTGTTGAATCCCTATATTGTACACCTGAAACTAATATAACACTGTGTGTTAGCTATACTGGAATTAAAATGGAAAACTTAATTTTAAAAACGCTTAAAAATAATAAATATAAATATTATATATATATATAAATTGAATAGAGCTTTAAGTTTGGGATTAAGAAAAAATTCTAGAGATGGATAGTGGTGATAATTGTACAACAATGTGAATGTACTAACAACACTGGACAATAGCTGAACCATTTAAAAATGGTTAAAACAGTAAATTTTATGTTATATATATTTTACCACAATAATACTAATAATAAAGCCCTCAGCCAAGAACTAATTAAGAGGGACTAGGAGGAGATAGCCCCTGGCTGGATAGCAAGTGAAAACACTACAAGAGGAAGCATGAAGTTTGGGTGAACAACTGGCCTTTTCTGCCATAACCAGGAAGGGAAAGGGGCAAATCACTCAAGTATTCTTTTTATAAATGATCCCTAACTGATCCTCACTCATCCCTATTCAAATAAAATGTCCTTGAATGGAAATTTCACCAAAGAAGTCATACACATGGCCAATAAGCACATGAGAAAATTCTCCACATCACTGGCCATCAGGGAAATACAAATCAAAACCACAATGAGATACCACCTCACACCAGTGAGAATGGGGAAAATTAACAAGACAGGAAACCACAAATGTTGGAGAGGATGTGGAGAAAGGGGAACACTCTTGCACTGTTGCACTGGAGGAATGTGAACTGGTATAGCCACTCTGGGAAACAGTGTGGAGGTTCCTCAAAGAGTTAAAAATAGACCTGCCCTACGACCCAGCAATTGTAGTGCTGGGGATTTACCCCAAAGATACAGATGCAGTGAAACACCGGGACACCTGCACCCCAATGTTTCTAGCAGCAATGTCCACAATAGCCAAACTGGAAGGAGCCTCGGTGTCCACCGAAAGATGAATGGATAAAGAAGATGTGGTTTATGTATACAATGGAATATTCCTCAGCCATTAGAAACGACAAATACCCACCATTTGCTTCGACGTGGATGGACCTGGAGGGTATTATGCTGAGTGAAGTAAGTCAATCGGAGAAGAACACTCATCACATGGGTTCACTCATACAGGGAATATAAAAAATAGTGAAAGGTATTAAAGGGGAAAGGAGAGAAAATGAGCAGGAAATATCAGAGAGGGTGACAAAACATGAGAGACTCCTAACTCTGGGAAATGAACAAGGGGTAGTGGAAAGGGAGGTGGGCGGGGGGTTGGGGTGACTGGGTGACAGGCACTGAGGGGGGCACTTGATGGGATGAGCACTGGGTATTATGCTATATGTTGGCAAATCGAACTTCAATTTAGAAAAAAATGTCTTCTGGGCCATTATTTGCTCTCAATGTGAATAGTTTATTCTCTCCTTTTAAAATACTACCTATGTAGCTAATATTTATCAAGCCCTTACCATGCCCCCGCCAGTGCTACAAAGGCCCTGCACATATTAAATTATTTAACCATAGTAAAACTTTTATGATGTAGATACTCTTGTTATCCTTATTTTAAAACACAGGACCTGAGGGGCGCCTGGGTAGCTCAGTCAGTTAAGCATCTGACTCTTGATTATGGCCCTGGGGACCCGGGATCGAGTCCTACATCGGGCTCTGTGCATGGAGCCTGCTTCTCCCTCTGCCTGTGTCTCTGCCTCTTTCTCTCTATGTCTGTCATGAATAAATAAATAAAATCTTATTTAAAAAATTTTTAAAAAAATAAAAGTCTAAGCTGTTGGATGGTCCAGGAGAAGAAGCCAGCTCTGCTCTACTGTATGATTAGAGACTCAGACTCTACCTTCTGCTCCACCTTCTCCTAGGATGTATCTCTTGTGCTCCCATACAACTTAGTTCCAAACCAAAGAAAGTGGGAAAGAGGAAGAGAGAGGAAAGCAGGTTCCTTCTAGGTCTATGAGCTGCAAGTCACACTTACCGCTTCCGTTCCTATGGCTCAGGCATAACTTAGTCATATTGTCGCACCTACCTGTAAGGGGAGCTGAGAATTTAGTGTCCAACTAGGCAGTCATTGGAAACTCAAGGGAGACTTTATTATTAGCATTCTCTGCTGTGCATGGCCATCTCATAAAAATCCTGTGCCTAATCATCAGGCCATATGTAGTAACCAGATACCAGAGATGGAGAGTTAGAAGAATTTGTATTGAAAGCAACTTGGAGGGGCATCTGGGTGGCTCAGTCAGTTAGGGATCTGCCTTCGGCTCAGGTCATGATCCTAGAGTCCCAGGATCAAGACCTGCATGGGGCTCCCTGCTCAGCAAGAAGCCTGCATCTTCCTCTCCCTCTGCTCCTTCTTTCTCTCTCTCATTCACATTCTTTCTCTCTCTCTCTCTCTCTCAAATAAATAAAATCTTTAAAAAAAAGAAAAAAAAGAAAAGAAAGCAACCTGGAGAAATTCTAAGTTATAGAGAATAAGGTGAAAATTGCCTGTAGAAATAGGTAACTCAGAGTGGTAATGGGATGAATCCTGATTTTGGATTCCAAAAGACTCAGGTTTTAGTCTGCCCCTGCCATTTACTAGCGTGTGAGGATGGGCAACTTAGTTAACTTCTCTCAACTTAGCTTTTCGCATCTCCTAGATGGAATTGACAACAATATCAACTTTCAGAATTATTTTGGTAATTAATAAGATGATGCATATAATGTCTAATAAACAAGCTCTCGATATTCTTTCTCAACTCTGCTCTTCTTGTTGTCTTTTTGATCACAGTAGATGGCGACCTCATCCTTCCGATTCTCAGACTAAAATCCTTGGAGTTGTCATTGACTGTCATTTTCCATCTTCATATCTAAACCATCAGCAAGTCCTGTCCACTCTTCACTCAAAGCATTCAACCCTTCCTCACCATGTGTCCTCTGCTGCCACCCCTGGTCCAAGTCATTGTCCTGCTTTGCCTGGATTATTGCAACAGCTTCCTAAGTGTTCTCCCAGCTTCTTCCTGGGCCTCCTACAGTATTCCCCAGCAGCTAAAGTCATCTTTTTAAATATAAAATTGATTCTGTTCAGGGTTGTTGACCCTGGTTAAAACAGCCAGTTATTTTCCCAGCAGAATGTGTTTATTCAGAAATAGCAAGGGAATTGCCAATCAAGACACACAAGCTATGGCAAACTGGAGATGAAGTCTGGAGATAGGGACAGAAATCTTACTTTATAGAGACAAGGAGGAAGCTGGGAGGGCCTGCTTTAAATTAAAGTCATTTAGGGGATGTCTGGGTAGCTTAGTGGTTTACTGCCACCTTCGGCCCCCAGAGTGTGATCCTGGAGACCTGGGATCGAGTCCCACATTGGACCTCCCGCATGGAGCCTGCCTCTCCCTCTGCCTGTGTCTCTGCCTCTCTCTCTCTGTGTCATTTCATGAATAAATAAATAAAATCTTTTTAAAAAATTAAAGTCCTTTGGAGCAAAGCAAGAGATCAGGGTGGTGATGGTTTCTCATTGCCTGAGTTGTGGTATTTTTTTTTTTTATTGGCTGAGCTTATTGCTGAGCAAAGAGGCAAGCAAGGTATGTCTCTTTCTGTTGGGTCTGCAATTGATGACCAGTGGTAGGGTGTAAGAGCTTGCCCTTCTGGCCTCCATACTCTATTTTAAATGAGGTTTCCTTTATTCAGTTTCACATTTCCTCCTTTTGATCAAGATGTTTCTCCAAAGCATCACTGGTCAAGAATTTGGTTTTCTGCATTTAGTGGTTTTGTCCTTTGGTGCCAGGAAGGACCTTTGCCAGTTGTTATGTCCCACATAGAGGACAAGTGCATAGCAGTTGGAAACCATTTAAGGCCATATTTGGTAGCAAGGAGGTTAGGATCCTAACCTGGCAGGGAAGATACCATGATAATGAAGATTATTTTCCCAGTGTGAGGCTCACCCTTTGTATTCCAGAGGGTGTGACTCCTGCAATTTCCCCAAATATGAGGAAACTCAACTGCATAGTTTGTGGTAGGGGAGGACTGTGTTTGCACTCAACCCTGGGCAAACACACACACACACACACACACACACACACACACACAAAACAAGGGAGATTAAGAAAGAGAACACTCAGGCATTTCTTATCCAAAGCCTATATCTCTCATCAAGGTCATAAACCTCAGAGAGCATATCAGCATCCTCCTGAATATGTCATTTCTACAAAGATTTGGCAAGCAACAGATACAAGACTTAAAAATAATTATGCAAAGCAGAATCAAAAGTAATATGACAAATTAGTTTTTATGATGGTTCTATACAAGGAGCCCAAACCTGAATGTAACCAGCTAAATAGGTCAAAAGACCAGGGGTCATTGGGTGAGATTGGTTATAACCAATGGGTTTTTTCCCTGATCTTGTGTAATTGAATTTCTACCTCTCCAGAGGCATTTATCCATGTGCAACAGGTGGATTTGTGATTGTACAAATGCCCCCTTGTTCAGCAATTAGGTAATCAGGGCTGTGGGATTGTCCAAAAGTACTTTAGTCAAATCAGGTGATCCTTGTTGGGCTGCTACTGCTTTAGCTGTAAAATCAGGTAGTTATCCTAATGTTAGGGAGAGATTTCTGCTCATTCATTGGTAATTAACTCTGAGCCAGAGGAGAGAGGCTCTTTTTGAAGGGATATTAGAGAAGAGGTTTTCATTTTGAAAAATAGTTATTTTCCAAAGAAGCATTTGGAAATGTAGCTGAGACATCATTCAAGCCTCAGCCCAAATGTCATATCCCTAGGGTTTCCTTCCATGACCACCCCATCTAAATCAGCCTCTTTAGACTATCCTGCTAGTCTTTATCATATTTCTTTCCTAGCACTTCTTACTGATACCTTTTACCATTTGTTTACTTGCTCATTTAAAGGTTGTCTCTGGGGCAGCCCAGGTGGCTCAGTGGTTTAGCGCCGCCTTCAGTCCAGGTCGTGATCCTGGAGACCTGGGAAGACCCAGGATTGAGTCCCATGTCGGGCTTCCTGCCTGAAGCCTGCTTCTCCCTCTGCCTGTGTCTCTGCCTCTCTCTCTCTCTCTCTCTCTCTTTGTGTGTCTCTCATGAATAAATAAATAAAATCTTTAAAAAATAATAATAAATAAAGGTTGTCTCCCTTCCAAGAGAATGTAAGCTCCAAGAGACAAAGCACCTTACTAGTCTTATTGACTATCCCAATTACTTGGCACAGTGTCTGCTATTTATTGGGTGTTAAATATTTCTTAAATAAATGAATGTGCAAGGGGCACCTGGCTGGCTCAGTTGGTGAAGCATGCGACTCTTGATCTTGAGGTTGTGAGTTCAAGCCCCATACTGGGTGTAAAGATTATTTAAAATAGGAGTGTCTGGATGGCTTAGTCCGTTAAGCATCTGCCTCTGGCTTAGGTCATCATCCCAAGGTGCAAGGTGCTGGGATCGAGTCCAGCATTGAGCTCTCTGCTCAGTGGGGAGCCTGCTTCTCCCTCTCCTCCTCAATCATGCTCTCTCTCACTATTTCTCTCTGTGTCTCTCAAATAAATAATATCTTTAAAAAAAGATTACCTAAAATAAATAAATAAGCTTGGAAAAATAAAATAATGTTCAAGATAGTTGCATGAAGAGGTGTATCCATTAAGTTAACCGCAACCACTGTAAAAGATAAATCCCCAAATCCCAATGGCTTGTAAAATAAAATTTTATTTCTCATTTACATGAAGTCCATTCAGGAGACCAAACTATTTTTTTTCTGGTTCTGCTCTCCTAGTGGACTTTCATGTCCTCTGCATTTAGTCAGCAGAGGGAATAAGAGGATGGTGAATCACCAGTGAAATTTTTTGTAGGCTAGGAGTGACATATATTACCTCCTCTTGTTTTATTTTGGCTGGCACTCATTCATGTGACTAGTTCATTCAAAATCTGTAAGTTTGAAGTCTGTTCAAAATTTCTGATTTGAATAAATTTTTTTTTAAATGTGGCAGACAGGGTGCCTGAGTGGCTCAGTCAATTAAATGCCTGCCTTTGGCTCAGGTCCTAAGCTCAGTCCCACAGCCCTAGGATACAGCCCGGTGTCGGGGTCCATGCTCAGCAAGGAACCTACTTCTCCCTCTCCCACTGTTCCTACCCCCTGCTTGTGTGCTCAAACTCTCTCTCTCAAATAAATAAAGTATTTCTTTTAATGTATGATTTGAGAGGCAACTAGCTGGCTCAGTCAGTGAGCAAGTAACTCTTTCTCTCTAGGTCATGAATTCAAGGTCCATGTTGGGTGAAAAGCTTCCTTTTTTTTTAAGATTTTATTTATTCATGAGAGACACAGAGAGAGAAGGAAGCAGAAATACAAGTAGGCTCCATGCAGGGAGCCCGATGTGGGACTCGATCCCAGGACTCCAGGATCATGCCCTGAGCCAAAGGCAGATACTTAACCGCTAAGCCACCCAGGCATCCCTGAAAAGCTTACTTTAAAAAAGTTTTGTTTTATTTGAAGCTGTCATTGATTAATGAATAAAGCAAGTCGATCACAGAAGCACTAAAATGTCTGCTCTTGTCCCCATGTTCCCAAAGATAGTAAAAAGGTCTAACATGACAACCTAAAGATAAATTGTTTATGTAACATGCATTCATTTATAACAGAATTATCATAAATTTAAAGGAAAATATAACTATAAATCATAAAGTTAACTTTTAGTAAATACTTATGGCAATTATAAGTTAAAACATTACTTTTTTTTTTCCCAATAAGCTATGGTCAGGATATTTTTCTTGTGTCCTTAATGATGTCATATTGCCTTCCTCTTCTCGATGACCTTCTATAGAACAATCTATAAAATCTGTCTCTCCATCTATAACACATGTGTTCCACCTCAGGCAATTATATAAATTATTATATAATTTATTACATAATTTAAATTATATAAATTATTATAATTTAATCTTAAATATTGCATCTACAAGATGATTTTTGGGAGAAGAAGCCAAATAATTAATCTCAAAAAAACTAAGAACACCAGAAGAAACCGTTTTGCACTGGATTATAATTGTCTATTGCTCTCCTGCTTCTCCGCCGGATCCAGTTCCTTGAGTGTAGGAACCTTCTTTAGATTCCCATCTTTTCCATGGTGCCTGTACACAGTAAGGCCTCAATGTTTAGGTGAAATTCTATAATTAGACTATTGAAACAATATTGAGAGAGGAACACGTCCCACATCCTCCTCCAGAATGCCAGCAGACAGATTTATATCCCCCAGGCAAGAGACTGGCAGCTATTTCTTTAAGAAACTGAATCACACAAGAGAAAAGGTCTATAGATTCTGACATTTGGGGGTCCAAACTAGAAAAATTTAATGGTCCTCCACAAAAACTACAGTGAAGCCCACTTAATGAGACCTACCTACCCATGTCTCCACAATTTCTGTTTGATTTTTTAGAATCTGGGGACCCAGGATTGCCAGGTATTTGAAATATATGCCACCTGCTTGGCAGAGAAAGATCATACACTGTTTTTTAAAGACAAAAAAAAAATAAAGAGAGGAAAATACAGACTTTAATTGATATCCTCAGGGAGATATGAAATATATTGCATATAGGAAACAAAGACAATATTATTAAAAGGGGAAAAAAGAGAACAAAACAGAGTTCTTGACAATTACAGATTAGATAGTGGGCATAAAAAAATTCTGTGGAAACTCTGGCTGGTGAAATTGAGGAAATATCTAGAAAGAGGAACAAAAAGAGAATAAAAGGAAAATAAGGGAAAGATTTTCTTTCCTTTTTTTTTAGTCTATCCAGCATGCCCAATATTTGTCTAATAGGAACACCAGAAAAATAAATACATAATTAAAAATGCTAAAGGGAGGAAATTTCAATAAAACTAAAGAAGAAAGGTAACTAGAATTGATGGAAATAATTGTCCAAACTGAAAGGGCACATTATACGTGTCTAGATTGAAAGATTGCTATTAAGAAGGTCTGGACTAACACAGAAGTCAGTTAGTAATACCTAAAATTAATCCAAAGATGCTGTATCTACCTTAAAGACTACTATTAATAGTGAATGAGAAAATATTTATTCCAAAGTGCATGACCATGAAATTGCAAACCACTAAGGATAGAGATGGTCCTAAAGCTCATAGAAAAAAAACTTGCATTTAAAAGTTTGAGGAGGTGGAGTTCTCAGATGGCTCAGTCTGTTAAGCAGGTGACTTCTGGTTTTCAGCTCAGGTCATGATCTCAGGGTCGTGGGATTGAGCCCCACATTCGGCTTCGTGTATGCTTGTCCCTCTCCCTCTACTCCTTTTCATACTCTTTCTCTCTCAAATAAATAAATGAACTCCTTTTTAAAAAAGTTTGAGGAGATAGGGGATCCCTGGGTGGCTCGGCGGTTTGGTGCCTGCCTTCGGCCCGGGGTGTGATCTTGGAGTCCCAGGATTGAGTCCCGCGTCGGGCTCCCTGCATGGAGCCTGCTTCTCCCTCTGCCTGTGTCTGCCTCTCTCTCTCTGTGTCTCTCATGAATAAATAAATAAAATCTTAAAAATAAAAAAGTTTGAGGAGATAATGGTATCACACTTCTCAACAGCAACATTGGGGAGCTAAGACTAGGGAGTGATGCCTACAAAATTCTGGGAAGATAGAATTTTAAAACTAGAATTTGATAAGAAAATTATCAGACATATGGGGTAGAGGGAGACATTCTCAGAGATGCAAGTTTGCAAATGTAAAAGCAAGCAGAACTGGAAGCTTGTCAACCTGCTATGTGGCCTTTCTCAGGAAGTAACTAGAAGATATACTTCATCAAAATGGTAGGATAAACTAAGACAATACCTATTGCAAGAATTAGAAGAAAAACGGAAATACAAGAGTGATGAAATTATAGTAGACCAACAGAATGACAAGTCCATATTGGAGCAGGAGACAGAGGAGTTCCAGGAGGGCCAACTTGTACAGGCTTGCAAGACTGTGTGCTTCTCTTTCCAACTCTGCATTCAGTGAGATCACAACTGGTAGCTTGAAATCTGTCACGCGTAAATCTGTATTTATGCAATGGAAGGGGA